GAGGCCGGGATGCCTGGATTGGCTCCCGCTCACATCATAGCTGTGTGACGATGGGCAAGTCATCACCCTCTCTGTTCCTTCATTTGTAAAATTAGATCATAGTAGCTACCTTGCAGGGTGGTGAAAAGGATTAAATGAGTTAATATAAGTAAAGACTTAGTGCAGTGCTTAGCACATGGTCATTAATGCTGCATTAATTAATGTTAACTGTCATTACTACCCAGAACACCTTCCCCCAAACACTTGGACCTTCACGCCTCCCATTTCTAGATTCCTCTAAGGTTCAGTTCCCTACCGTGCAGTCCAGTATTTGATGACGGGCAGTGCTGTCTTGTGATTCCAGTGTTATTTCAATGTTTGAGTCTTAATGCTGCATCGTTGATAGACGGGAGATCCCTGGTCGTAGGAAACATATCATTTACTTCTGCTGGATTCCTACAGCACACAGCCCCGTCCTGGGTAACCGCTGGACACATCAGCACCGCTGGAGTGAGTGCCTCACTACAAACAAGCAGGAACAAATCCCGTGCTCTGGCATCATATACGGGTGCCACAGCCAGCGGCTAACACGCTAAACGGGAAGACTTGGAGAGACGCAAAAGCGCCCACAGTGAACGTCTACTGGGAGACAAGAGCCCCCAACTGGAAACCAACCAGATGCTCTTCAACAAGCAGATGGCTAGACAAACAGCGGTCTCTCCACTCGAAAACGGCAAAATTGTAGAAATGGCAATGGATTAATGGTTGCCAGATGTTACGGAGGGACTCAGAGCAGGGGGGAGGAGCAGCTTGTGGGACCCTGGGAGGATGGGGAAGACCCACCTGCATTTTGATGATGTTACTGTCAACATCCTGGGCGTGGTATCCTGCTGTGCGGTTTTGCAAGACATCACTGTCGGGGCAAACCGGGCGAAAGGTACAGGGAACCCTCCGTGTAATTGATCACAACCGCATAATCTACAATTTGTCTCTAAACCAAATGTTTAATTTTTAAAAAGCCACTTATGGCATTCCCAACAGAAGCAGAAAGAATAGATTGGGTTGCCCACTGATGGGAGAAATATGGCAAGTCTCTTCTAGAAGGGTTTTATTTTTTAGGAAGGAAGTTTGTCGATTGTACTTAACATTTTTGTTTCCATTAGTACTTAATCCTTGGGACATATTAATAGCAGTGTTTAGTCATGCTAAACAACATTATTGTCTAACACCATCAGGATTCGCATGGTTTTTTTAAACTGGGAGGAGTCATCAAGAGCTAATCTTTTCCGATTCTCTCATTTCACTAATAACTAGCAGCATTAACCAGGACTAGGACCCAGTCATCCCAGGATCCAGGCCTGTACTTCCAACTGCTCTGTATTTTTATTTTCTAAATGCGGCACAATGAGTGGATCTAGATCAATATCCTGAATTACCCGGGTGTCCATGCTTAGGGCCTGAGATGACTCATTGCCCTCCAGCAGGGGTGCCCCTGCCCAGTTACGGGGTTGCTGCTGCTGGTGGGGACAGCAACTGACTCTGAGAATAAACCAGACTGATGGGCCCCTCACCCTACAAGCACATAATGGGATCAGAGTGGGAAACGACGGAATAGCCCTCAGAAGACTGGCTAGAAAGAAAACAGAGAAAGAAGAAGCTGGGAGCAGAGCCAGGATGAGAACCAGCTCTCTGCACCCAGATCAGGGCTTCTTGAGGAGGGACCCCAGAAATGGTCACCCCAGTGTGAGCTTTTCATCACAGTATGGCCAGTGGTGTTTATTTAAGTCATCACCAAAGGGGGAAGCCAGGCTAGGGACAGAGAAATGGAAATCAAAGTTTCCAGAACACCGATTACCACCTGGGGCCCTGGGCAGGGCCCCTCCTTGCTGCTGTCTTGACTCAGTTTACCCATTCATACAACAAGGGGTTTGGATTAGCCAGGAGAGCCACTCCAGATTTTGTCCAGAGCTTCTCGTGCGGACTAAACACACGAACAAATAACTAAAATCAGCCTGGCAAAATAAGACTCGTTCAGATCGCCAACCAAGGACAAATGTGTAACAGACCTGAGTCATTTCCCGGGCTTATTAAATCAGCCCCTGCTTCCCCATGGGTGGCAGCAGAGATGCCGGCTGCAGGGAAGGGACGCAGGGAAGGAGCAGTAAAAATTTCACTTTTTGGGAGACATTTTGTGTGTTGCACAAACAGCCCCCACTGCCAAATGAGTCAGAATTTCCGAATGGCATAATTTTAGGGCCTCCTTGTGGTTCCCTCTCTGGGCCACTTCTGAAAGGGAGGCCTCAGGGCGGGGTTTCCTGTGCTCAATTCCAGAGATGCTGGAGGGGCTCTCCCCCCACATCCTTTGCCAGAATTTTCTTTCCAGAGCAGTTTTCGTCTCTACTCCTTTCTGTAGCCGTGGGTAATGCTGAAGACAGAGGTGAAGGTTTACAGCGTCCCTAGTTGCAAACTCCCCCTCTCTCCCACTTTGATTACTCAGCACATTCCTGGTCGGTGTGGACTACTTTGGAGTGGAGGAAGACTGCCACGAATTAACAAAAAATCACGCTCTGTGCTGATGTCAGGCTTGAGAAGAGCAACGGGAGAATGTCCTCGCAAGTGACCAAGCCCTATAAAGCTGAAGAGAATACTAAGGATGACAATAAATCTACTAATATTAGCACAGAAAGTATTTTTATCACATGTATTCTCACCCGTGGAATATTCTTGCTATGCCCACTCAAGAGATGAGCCCATGTTCTCAGAGGTTACACAGCTTGCTGGGGTTCACACAGTGTTGGAACACAGAGCTGGGTCCGAAGTGTGGGTCTCATAGCTGTGAGGTGGCACTCTGTGCTGTGTGGGGAGGGTTTGGGGGTTGGGGGGGGTCAATGGGGTGGGGGCATCTCTATGCGCACCATCGCCCCGCTCGGGAGACAATCCCCCGGACACAGAATCATTGCACTGGGAGCTCATCCTCTGGCAGTAGGCCTCCGTTTCTCACTCTCCATATCCCCAGGGACTCACACATAGTAGGTGCTCAGGAAATGTCTGATGATGTGTAACAAAACTGTCGTGGCCATGCTCTGCCCAGAATAGCTCATATGAATGGGGGTCTCACACCACCAGGTGCCAAACCATTCAAGATGGATTCTTATTATTGGGTGCATGTAACCGAAGAGGAAACCAAGGGTGAGTAATGAGCAGAAAGTCGCCAGCTCGGGCAGTTTGACACCAGCTTGAGCTCTTTACCCCAACTGTGCTAAACCATCTCTCCCTGCAGGAAGCTGACTTCTGCTGGCCCGCGGCTCCCCCGTTCCAGCAGTGCTGGTGGGACCATCTTCCTCCTTGTGCCAAGCACCTGACCTCCATTCTAAGACAGACTCGGGAAACTTTTCTTAACCACCTGGAAGACCTCAGCAGAGATGCCACGAGGAGATACACGTGAAAGTGTTTGGAAAAACAAAGCGCGTTTCCAAATGCCAAGTATCATCATAATTGCTCATTGCTGTCTGGACCTTCAGCTTGGCAGCTGTAACCCCCAGGGTTGTGACAGCCCCTCAGATGGAGGTAGGATGATAATGAGAAACATAATAGGGCACCTAAAACCGGTCAAGGAGAAGCCTGGGAGAGGCCATTTGTGGGCATCTCCTAGGGCCCTGTGCATAGTTATAGCTTAATGAACAGAGTTCTGAGTTAGAGGGTGTGACTAACACCGGCATTGTGACTCCTGCTAGATCTACCCCAGTGTTACTTCTGGGCTGTGGCATTCTTCGGCTTTGTCCTTGGTTTGGAAAAGGCACACACACACCCCTACACACGCATGCGTGAAGTGCACACACACACCCCCCCCATTACTATCTGGTCCTGTTTTTCAATTTAATCTTTGTCTTCGGACACTGATTTGTTCAACCAATGAGGATAGAGGACCTGCCAACCTTACTAAGGAACAGAAGAGGAAAATATCCTCTGGGAAGCCATAGATCTGGGCCAGCTCCCTACTCTTCAGGCTCAGCCTTCCTGTTTTCTCTGCAAAATGGGCATCACTGCACCTGAATTGTGAGGACTAGAGTCCCCCTGGTACCCAGTTCCACCAGCTGTGTCCTTAGCGGCTCTTATCCCCACGCACAGGAGACAGAACCATCAGCAAAACACGTAATTAGGCTGACAAAGATCAAGGCTGGGGTGGAGAGACAGTTCAAAGGGCCTTGGTGTGCCGGGAGCTAAAACCGAGGGCGTAGATAAGATTCAGACATTCTGCCGCAAGGCTTAAGAGTTGGTTGAGTAGCTGAGCAAGGGTGAGAGGACCTGTCTTTGGGGTGGGAGTGCGGCTCTGGGAGGAAAGGGAGACACTTCGCGGGCCTTGCTTGGGTGGGAGGTCCCAATTAGGCTAAGAATTCACATCCCTTGCGGCTCACGCACCGTCGCCCCCTCTCGGCATCCTGGGGGGGCCCCCATCTGAGCCTGGGGCCCCGAGATCCCCAGCGCGGTGGCTCCAGGCGCTGGGTGGGGGGAGGGACCGGATGGGGCGCCCCCACTGTCAGGCCAGCTGATAGGTGTCACTTCCTTCTCGGATTTCTCGCCTCCTGGAGGAGTGCCCTGCCGTTAGCCCCACCACGGCTCCTGAGGGGGCAAGACCTGCCAGCCCCCGAGCCTTCTCCCCCAAATCTGGACGCCAGAGGAACTCCCTCCCCGATCCAACTTTTCCCCTGGGAGAGGCAGCTCTGTGTCATCCCCAAGGATGAGACCCCGGCAGAGGCAGGCAGGGGTCCGGAGATCCGGGTGGCTCCCGGGCGCGGGGCCGGGGGTGAAGATGGGGAGCCCCCGCGGCCGCGATCCCTCCCTCCGAGGGGTCTGAGATTGGGCGCCGGGGGGGCTGGGGCGGTGCACCGGGGGCCTCGGCGGAGCGCGTGGAACCGGGCGCGTCCTTCCCCAGCCCTACCGGGTGGCACTGCCCGAGGGCGGCTCCCGCGGCAGGTCCCCGAGGGGACTGGGCGGGGCTGGGGGCGAGTGTCCGGCCCCGCCCCGGGCCCGCCCCTCTCCGGAGCCTCCCGGGACGCAGGGAGGAGGGCGGCTGGGCCAGAGCTGCCCGCGGCGCCGCGCTCCTGCACGCTCCGTACCGGGTAAGTGGCACGGGACCCGGAGGCCAAGCCGGGGCGGGGAGGGTCGGGGCCGCAGCCCCCCGCCCAGCCGCGACGCGTCCCCCAGGGGCATGGGTTGCCGAAAGTCGAGGGGACCCGGGGAAGCGCGCCGGACGCGGGGGCGGGGGCCCTGGCGTGACAGCTGCGGGCGGGCGGGCGGGTATTTTTAGTTTAAACCCAACCGTTCCCTGCCGCCTGCGAAGTCCCTGAGCCTTTCCGCTCCCCGAACCGGGAGGTGCGGCCCCCAAGAAAAAGCCCCTAAGCCCTGAGCAGCGTGTCCCAGGCGGGCCGGGCGCCGCCTCCCGTCTTCGCTCAGCCTCCGCTTGGGGCCAGGGGACCTGTCACCGCGGACACGCGCCGCCGCGTGTCCCGGGCCTGGGCAGTAAACGCGGGCGGGAATCCCCGGTCCCGGCGACCACGCGCTCTCCTCCTCTCCTCGTAGTGCCTGAGGCAGCCCAGAGCCCGCGTGCTAGGCGGGGGAGGTCGCCCCAGGCTCCCTCGGTTTCCTTCACACACCTCCTGCCGGCTGTGCAGCTCTGGGCGAGCCCCTTGGCGTCTCTGAGCCTCATCCCACGTCTCTCAAGGAGGGCCTAGCGACCCAAAGATCTCTTGCACGGCCTGAGCGTGCCCGAAATGGATGCTGACTCCCCTCAGGGTTTTCAGATCTTGACTCTAGACGGGGCACCTGGTAGGGGTAACCAGGTGGTCCACCCAGGAGCACGAGAGTGCCCCACGCAGCTCAGCCGACCTCTGCCTCAAAACTATAAGGCTGCGGTGGGTGATAATGAATGTTCTTATTTTATCACTTTGGTCCTAAACCTCTGGCCCAAGGCTGCCCTGGGACCCTCTCCCAGGTCTCCCCGCAGGGATCACTTCCTCCTGGCACCAGTGGGGAAGCCCGACGTGCCCAGGAAGCATGCCCCATCCCAGGTGAGAGAGGGCAGGGGGAGACATGGGGGAAAAGAGACCATCCTCCCACAAAAGGGAGGATGTCACAAAAATCACAGCCCTTCTGAGCATGGCGGGACAGCCTTCTATATCCACCAAGGAGAGAGAAAGCAGGCTGGGAGATGAGGAGTGGTTTGCCCAGATCTGCACGACCAAGAACAGAAACTGGCTCTCTCCAAGGGTCAGGCCCTGCCTCCTGCACAGCCAGCAGCCCCCGGGGGTCAGGAGCTGGGAGGCGGGAGGGACAAGCTGGTGCCAAAGGGTTGTTTTGCTGTTTCCTGTAGCCGTGCCCCAGCGAGGCTCTCTGACACATGTGGGTCTGCACATTCCTCAAGCAGGACCTCTCTGGGCTGCTGACGGTCACAGCTGTGCCAAGCCCGCCGGCCCCAGGGTGCTGTTTTCAGCTAGGGAGGCCCCTCTGGGGGCAGCTGGAGGGGGAGTGGGCTGGGGAGGCTTATTTCTAGAACTTCTGCCTTGCTGGGGGTTCCTGAGGAGGCCGGGGGATTTGCTAGTGGCCCTGAGGGAAGGTCTGAGAATCCAGACTCTGGCTTCTGCCCCAGGGTGCAGGCTGGCCCCCTGTGGGCACCCACTTTGGGGTGAGTTTGAACTCCTTGCGTCTCCATGGGAACGACCAATCCTCTCTCCCAGCTGCTTTGCATGTTCTGTAACTGCTGAAGACCTGTCCTTGTCTGTGTGGCCGCGAGGCCTCGTCATGCCACAGCCTGGGGCCAGGACAGCTGGGGGATCCTGGCATGGCTGCAGGGTGACCTCTGCTCTGGGGAGGTAAGACTGGACAGGTCCAGCATGACCCCCTAAACACGATGGAGCCCCTGAGAGCCAAGAGGGTGATGGGGCCTCCCGTGTGGCCCAGCTGTTACGAACAGGGGTGGCCACGTTAGACCCAGGCTGCCTTGAAAAGCCAAAGATCCAGTCCAGCTCTGGCCATGAAAAAGTCACCGTTCAGAGCTTGCATTTTCTTTCCCATGAGAGGGGGGTGACCATAATGTCCCCATCTTGGGTGCTGTGAGCATTAAATGAGGCATTCCAGGAACAGCGTTTTGCATCGGTCCGACAGAGCCCGTGCAAACAGCTGTCACAGCTTACTGTGACAGGGTCCATGGCAGGGGAATACCTGAGTCCCCTCTGCCCACCACAGCTCTGCCCTTTCTTCTCTGCCTTGAAAACCCATGTCTGTCCAGTAGCAGGTGGCCCTGGAGCCTTTACACCCCTGAAAGCTGGTCTTTGACCCAGGCAGAGAGATTGGAGGGGGCCTGCCCAGGAACCCCATGTGTCTGTGGGCTCTCAGGAAGCATTTCCTGTCTCTCCTATGGCCCTGACCGCAGCAGAGGCTGCCACTCCTGGCCCATTTACAGATGAGGGGACAAATGCAGAAGCTGGGAGAGGCAGAGTCAGGATTTGAACTCGGGGCCATTGACTTGCTGCTCTTCCTTACACCCCACAGTGAGACTCAAAGGAAGGACTGTGTTACCCGCTGGCCCTCAGGGGAATAGTATTGACGAGGCAGGACCCTGGCTATCACTAAGACATTGGTATTTGCTGGAAAAGAATGGATTCTGAACTTTTTCTCCTTGCAACATCAAAACATAGCTCAACAGGGCCCCCGAGAGAAGAACCTGGGAGGAGGAGATGGGAGTTCTGGAACTGTCTGCTGACCCTCTCCACATCCCCTCCCCCACCCCGCCAAGGAATCATAGCCTTGGGATCTGGGGACAGCGTTGGTGGGGCTAAGCAGCTAGGAAGCAGATGGGGGACAGTCCCAGCCGCCCAAGCCTTGGTTTGGTCATCTCTAAAGTAGAGATATGAGGCCCCCACACCTCCCTGTGGGGTTGCTGTGGGGGATAAATGAGACAATGGGGGACAAGGCTCAGCAAATGCCCCACAGGGTGGGGACACATCGGAGGAGGACTTACCGCAGTTTTATCACTACTAATCCTAGTGTAACCGGAACAATGTGCCGCGGCCTGCCTCTCTGGCCTGGATTTCTAGTTTGCATACTCTGGGCAGGGAATCCCAGCATCTCCGAAATGCTTTGAAAGGCTGGGCAGAGAGCTGCTAAGTACGAACAAACATCAAAACACAAATGCTAACCGTGAGTTGTTCAGCGATGCGTATATGGGAAGTAGAGCAATGGCGAAGTGGGAGAAGTGATCACCTTTAATGAGTCAGAGATGACCATTGCAGAGGGCATCGGGGTGGAGGGTAAGAGGGGATTGGGAGGGTCATGGGGTCTGCGACAAAGGAATGTCCTCTGTAACTATTGGTAAGGACATGTATGTTTTCTGCGCGCCTCTCTACATAGATCCTGTGCTACAGATTTAAGCAGATTTTATAAAAGGCAGGGGAAAACCAAACCCAGGGTGGTTATCTTCGGAGAGGAAGAGGGCACAGGGCAAGGGAGATGCACCCTTGCTGGCATCCATCACGTTCTGTTTCTTCTGTCGAGTGGTATGCTCGTGGGTACTCTTTTAAAATAGTTTTATGCTTCATCGTTTACAAGTATGTATCTGATTCTACACACACATACACACACACACACACACATATTCCATTGTGGATGTCAAATCTTACATGCAAATAAAATGAAAAGGTAATATGAAATATGAAACATTTCAGGAAGCTCTCTTAGGAAATCAGACTCTTCCCATGGATTCAGATGTTAATCCAGCTGGATTTAAGAAATAAAACACAGACAAATCCTAGTGTGGGACAGACACATGGTTTCCTCTTCTGGAGAAATCATCTCCCTCTTCTGAAGTCCTAACAGCTAGAAGATGGTGTGAGCACAGCAATCTCAGGTTATCAACAGGAGTTTCTAAAGTCTCCATGTAATGATTTATGCTTATGAATCAGAAAGTCCTAAAATGTTTGAGCTGGGAGGGACCTCGGGTCACCTGGACCAACCTGCTGGTTTTATGGCTAATGGAAGTGCCCCGGCCAAAATCAACATTAGGCACATAAGCAGAGAAGACAGCTCACTCTGGGCTCTCACACCTGTGTGACTCTCATCGGGACCCCACCTGCCACACCCAGGCCACCACGGTGACAAGGGTCACCTCCTCGGGACAGGCAGAGAAATGGGTGGCATATTCAAGACTACACTAACATGATCATTTTAATTTTTAAAAAGTTAGAAAAAAGCTACAGTGTGCCATGACCACACACATGACCACTTCTAGAACTTCCATGAACACAGACGTGATCATGTCATCCAAGGGCATTCATGAGCAGTACCCACATCCTCCTTCGCTACGAAACCCTCCTAGGACAGCCCCTCGTGTTCCTCCTGGTCTTTTTGGGGCACACTTGATCTATTCATAAGTCATCAAAAGAGCTTACTGCCCTGGGTATGCTTGCCCCCATTTTCAGTTGGGGAAACAGGATCAGAGAGGTTGATTGCCTTCCCCAAATCCCAGGGCAGGTAAGGGCTGGAGCGGGGGTCCCACCCAGAGGAAGAACTGAAAAGACAGAAACTGTTTTGCGTGTGCTGTGTTGTGAATGTGTCCTTCGCTCCCCAGAAGCTGCAGTCCCTGGTGGCCCAGCCCAACGGGCGTGTCATGGGGACATGCCCTGGTCGAGCGTACCTGGGCGGTGTCTGCCCACCTGTCCGATCGCAGAAGGCTCTGGAGGCTGCCAGCTCTAACGCCGCTTCTTCCTGCTTATGGCAGAGCAGGACAGCAGTGCTCTGAGATTTGGGGAATCTATCCCATTTTTGACCCTGGAGCTCCCTTCAGTTCTGGGCCACCTTCCTTCTGCCCAGATCACAGCTGTTCTTCGGGCCTTCCCTCTGCAGAGGCCAATGGGGCTCGAGGCGCCAGGGGCACTGATGCATTCAGTGGTGGTTCTCCTGATCTGCAGCCGGCACAGAGACGGCTGTGTGTCCAGCCTGTGCGCTCACCTGTGCGGTCGAGACCAGGGCCGGTCCCCGTCCCTGCCCTGTTTCCTGGGGCCGGTTGTGGCACCGTGAGCCCATCTGTCATGTGCCTGTCAGGGCTGGTGGTGCCTCCCCACCGGGC